GGGTGTGGGTGTGGGTGGGTGTGCAGGCTCGGACTGCAGCAGCTCCAAACTCAGCCGAGACCATGGCAATGTAGCCTCCGCGGCCTTGCTGCGGGAGCAAGCCCCGCTGAGGTGCCAATTAGCACTCACCTTGGAGGATGCCGATTTCAGGTATTTTCCAAGGCGTGGGCTGTAATTCCAATCCACTTCTGTCACCGGATATAACAATACTCAATACTAATAGGGAAAACAATATATTTATTTACCAGAGAGAGAGAGAGTTGCACTGACCAGGAGTCAGAAGCATGGCTGGCTTCCAGCAGAAGAAAAGGAAAGCCCCTTTTCCTTTCACTTCCTTTTATCTCTACCTTGACCCCACCCTGTTGGGTGGGTAGCTTTGTGGCATTCACTCCTACACCAGGCAATCAGTCCCTCCAGGCTATCTGCCAGTCAGAAGTTGTGCTGGATCCTACCTGTCACCATTTTCAGGCTTGGCTTTACAGAGAAAATGTTCTGGTGGTCTTGTTTGCTCTGTTGTTGAAAGATCCCAACTCAACATTTTTAGACCCCTAGCGTCTAGCCCATCACAGAGTAACTTGTCCTTCTGCCCTCTCCTGAGAAACTGGAGACCTCAAGATAAACCTAAAAGATAATACTCCCTGATCCAATAACTATCTCATCACATTTCTGCTCAACGTTTAACTATACAATGCCCAACGAATGCTTACTTGAGATAACCTTCCTGTTAAGATATAAGCTATCATTTAACTTCCTCCTCCATTACGTTTATGATGTTTACCTAACTCCCCCATTCTTTATGGTTTTTCCGTTTAAAAAATCCCTGACTACAGCTACTGGAGGTCAAACTCCTCTGCCCCTGTGAAGGTCATGAGCTCAGCCGCAGTGCACTGGTTCCCTGAAAACCTCATGTGCTTGCACCAAGAAATGTCTCTCTTGAATTATTGGGGCATTGGTTTATCCCAAGACTTGAGTGAGGGTCTCCCCATTCTGGGTGGCTTTGACTGTGAATGCTGTTGCAGGAAACTGAGCATATAGGAGCCAGAAAACTACAATATGGGGAGCTTGGGGCTACTATCCTGAGACTGGGAGAAGTGCCCATTCGAGCTTTGGGAACCGATGTGGAGGGTCATGCCAAGGCTGGTTGGGAGGAAGAGGCCAGAAGCAGACTTTGCCATGTTACTGCCTGGTCTTGTGTTGGCCTGCATAGTCCTATTGGTCCTATGTGCCCCAGTTTATTTCTCTGCGATCTTGAGTTGTCCTGCATGGTTGTGATGGTCCTGTGTGCCCCCACTGCATTTCTATGTGGTCCTGAGTTGTCCAGGGTCTTTGGAATTCTCTGGGTCAGTTGGAAGACTCTTAAGTATGTACTGTCTGCTGGCTGTGACTGTGCAGAGCATTCAGATTGGGACTGTGCTTTGAAATATCCTTGTTGCAGGGTGTTGGTTGTGCACACCCTTAATCACAGCACTCCGGAGACAGAGAGGCAGGTGGATCTCTGTGAGTTTGAGACCAGCTTGGTCTAAAAGAACTAGTTCCAGGACAACCTCCAAAGCCACAGAGAAAACCTGTCTCAAAAAACAAACAAACAAAAAAATCCTTGTTGAAATCACTATTAAATACAGGTGCCGTTTTTGCTTGTCATGTCACTCTCAACATAGATTTGCCTAGGTCTGAGAGCTCGGGTCAATTTAGTATCTTCCAGATGTTGTGCACTTTGAAAGTTTAACATTTATGTTTTGAATCCACAGTGTTAATTCTGTGGAGCTTGTAAACAATGTTCCCTGTGAAGAGGATCACTCCACTGCTAAACTCTGATATGGAAATGTAGACGTGATGGCAGTAGAATTTATTGTATACAGTTTTACCAGTTCTTAGGAGACATTAAGTCACTAAATAGAATTTAGGTAATGGAGGACTGCATCCCAAATACTCCAAAGACAAATAGTATGCTAACAATGACTGTTAGAATATAGTATGATTAGATGTAAATGTTTGTTCCTTAGGTTTAACCAGTTCTATTCCAAAAACAAAGGACACAACCCTGATTTAACAGCAGAAGAAATGCCTGTCCCTCCATTAATATCAGGCCTCTAAATGCTGCTCAAATGTGCAACATTAAGTCCTGGTGTGTCATAAACTATATTAATTCTCCAGTCTTTTGCAAAGCATTTTTGTGGACGTCACCTGTATTGATTGAGTGGACTTGAGCCATGTCTGTAGCCCCACAGAGGATTTCTATGGTTATCCTGACAAACCACCCTAAATATTGGATTAAAAATCTGCAGCACCACAGAGTCTTTAAATTACTAGGTTGAGCCACATAATGGATGGTTCATTGCTAAAGAGGGAAGGGAATTAGGTTTGAAGCATGTTATTTTTTTCTTTAGACCAGAAGACAGAGAAATAGTTCACTCTGCACACTTCAGGAGGAATCAATTGTGATGCTAGGAAGATCACAGTCTGAAGTTGAAGGCAGTAAGATGCAGGGATCTGTATTATGAAGAAGGACTGATGGGGCATGTGATCCTGATGGGGACATTCTGTGACTTCTTTTGTCACAGCACTAGACCTGCTAAGCCAGTTGACTTGGGATCACTTGGTGTTGCAGTGAATGTTGAACCCCAAATTAAAAATGAGGTGAGCAAGAGATTAAGCATAGCCAGAATCCAAGAGTGCCCTTGTGTCTGATTCAGCAGAGTGAAACTATGAATGAAACCCTGGAGCTTGCTTTATTTTATTATTGCTTCTTCAGGTTTCTAATATAGCCCAAGCCATTATGTAGACACTCCTGCTCCACTTTTTTCTTAGCAATTTCTTACTAGAAAACATTAGCTTTTATTTAAATTTTTCTGTTTTTGACCATTGCCTGCATGTGTTATATCTGTGTATCACTGGAATTTCTGGTGCCTAGAGAGGCCAGATTCTCAGTAACTGGAATTAAAGTTGGTCATGTGCTTCTTTGTAGACTCTGGAAATCAAACCTATATCCCCTAGAAAAATATTGCTGAGCATTTGCTCCCATTCCTCAGGTTTTGCCTACCTTTAGGAAAGCTGTTAATTTCGGGTTTCATTTCTCAGGTGTCATCCTGAGATTTGACTGAGACATTACCTAAATGCAAAGCATCCTTGTCAGTTTTACATTAGATCATTTCATAATCAAATATTCCAATGTCTTGGAAGAAGGTTGAAATTAGTAGGAAAGAGTAATGCAAAAAGGTAAACTGTTTGAGAGGATTTATTTATTTAGTTATTAATTTACTTACTTTATTTGATTTTATTTTTACTACATGGGCCAGGCTGGCATTTAACTCAAATCCTTGACCTGGTTGGCTTTTCCTTCATGTGATGTAAGCTAGGATTATTTGGGAATGGAAACTTAAATTCTATGCATTTTCTTGATTGATGACTTATGAGGGAGGAGGGAGAGGCCAGCACTTTGTGGAGATGTACTATTCCTTGACTCCTCCTGAACATTGCAGCACTTGCACACTTGTGCACCTTCATGTAAATACACAGGCAATATATAAAGGCAAAGTAAGGATTAGGAATATTGAAAAGTGAAAATATCTAGGAGTTTTTTTTTAATGAGGCTGATTTTTGTAGCTGGAGGCCAGGTTGAAACTTAAGAAAGCTCAGTTAAGTCTTAGTGATGGAATAAGATTAAGAAGAGCCATTTAAGTTAAGAGAGTTAGTAGGAATGATGGAGTGTAAATTAGGGAAGCAGATGTTATTGAGCAGTAATGGCTATAGAGTACCAGAAAGTGTCCTGAACATAAAAGAACACTACTTGTCTTGGTATTGTTAGACAGTTCATTCCATATTACAGTTTCCAGATACACACATACCACAGTGATTTTGTGGATGCCAGAGGACAACTATAGGGAATTTCTTTCCTTCTAACATGTGATCTTGTGATTCAAAGAAGCTTTTAGACTTGACTGCAAAAGCCTTTATTGTCTGAAGCAAACCCTAAGTCCTCACATTTTTTATTACTTTTATTTATTGTTCAGAGCTAATTTGCATGCATTTCTGTGGATCTGACTCAAATGATCTTGTTAATGTATCCTTAATGAATTAACCATACATCGGAATGCTTGTCATCCTAGGACATTTATCAGTTCATGCAAATCTAGTGTATTTCTATTCCCTGGCTATTGTAAATAAAATCACAGTGAACATGGATTAACAAATGTCTTTAGAGTAGGGTTTAGATACTCAGTACTCTTCTTGTAATAACCCTTGTTCCCTTTGTGGAGTGTCATTTGAGTAGCCACCACTTGAATTTGGCCCATCATATGATGCTTCCAGCTACTTTATATAAGTCTCTTATTCCATACATTGCCTGCCACCGGAGTAGTATACAATATAATATTCTTAACAAGCTTAAATCCCAGCACTATGGCGGCAGAAGCAGGCAGATCTCTGTTAGTTCAAGGCCAGGTCACTGGTGTACTTAGCAATTATTTTAGGATATATCTTTGCTGTGTAATCCTTCCATATGACTAAATGGCTAGATCTACAAGTTGTCTGTCTCTATTTTATTTGTTCAAAGTGTCACCTGGTGCATGAACCTAAAAGGCACCTAAGGATGATGGCATAGGTAGAATGCAAGTGAGTCAAAGCTGGCTTCATTTTCAGCTTTAGCTAGAGATGAATGCATACCATCATTAAAGAGAATTTTTAAATAGCTTCCCGAGTGTGTGAAGTGATTTCTTCCTGGGAAGGCATCTTAATTCTAGGACAGCTGAATTTCCCTGTTGTTAGAAAAAATGTTTCTGAGACAAACTCCCTTATTTGGACTGAGGAAGCTATGATTCCAGTCTGTTGCTCTCCAGGGCAATGACCTTGCTGTCCTCTGTATTCCACCTATCCAAAGCAGGCCCAGTAATAGGATGTGCATGTGGAGCATAGCTTCAGCCTTCAGACCAAAACAGGAGGAATAGTTCATTGTGTGCACTGCATGGAAACAGGAGAGTGAATCAGCTGATGGAGTCACCAGAATGACAAGCGACCTGATTGTGGTTCCAGGGATGTATTTTATAATTTCCCAGGATGTTTTAATTCATGGTATGTGAATGAACATAGACCACTGTGGGTGGACATCTTGGAAAGTTTATCTTGACCCAATGAATATTGAATTTGACATTAGGCAACTCTCTATGAGGATATGTGTGTGCAATCCTAGCTGACACACTCAAGTCAGCTCAGAGGTTTGAGGTGCAGGCCATTGGTTATAACTCCATGCATCAGCTTAACACACTCAGTAGCTAACATTTTGCATGGGACAAAGTCATACAATGTCTTATTAATGGCATTCTCCATACCAGGGAATTGCCTACTCTGTTTAAGATGAGTATAGCTAGGTGTTCTTTCAATTACTTTTATCTCCTTAACAAAAATCAATTTTTTATAACATTTTTAAAATTTCATTTTCTTTCCATGCATTACTTCAATTATCCCTTTGCTTCTATTTTCCTTTGTTTCCTGGTTTAAGTATTTCATTCAATTTTTAGCTTAACTGCTGTTTCTTTATTGATTCATATATATCAGTTTAGAGCAGTGGCTCTCATCCTGTGGGGTCACATTGCCTTTAGGGGAATCAAATGACCCTATCACAGCTGGCCTAAGATCACTGGAAAGCACAGATGTTTCTATGGCAGTTCATAACAGCAATATTAGAGTTATGAAATAGCCCTGAAAAAAATTTATGGTATAGAGTCACTACATCACAAGGTGCCGTCTTAAAGGTTCACAGCATTAGGAAGGTTGAGAAACCCTAGTTTTGATCAATGTCTCCCGTAGCTCAGGTTGGACTCATACAATGTAATAGAGAATTTCCTTGAAAACCTAATCCTGCTTCTACTGTCCAGTACTGGAAAGAGAGTCCTGCAACTCCTTCCAGGTGGGGCCCTGACTAGTCACCAATAAGTGAATATCCTCCAAGTTCTCTGGATGTTATTGTGAAACTATAAATGGAGTAGGAACCTGTGTAAGAATTTCATTCACGAGGAAAGACATCAGCCCTTCCAAGACCTCAACCACAGCGAGTATAGCTTCAGGAGACCTGCCCACACGTCAAAGATGTCAGCAATTCAAAAACCCCAACCCCAGCAAGTACAGCTTCAGGAAAGACATCAGCCCTTCCAGGCCCCAAACTTCATGTCAGCATCTCCAGCTTCAGCTGCAGGAAGGAAGGAGACCAGTGGAGACGGAAAGACTCCACCAGCACCCACTGGAAGAAGAGATGAGAAGAAGACAGAATATGAGCTCACTCAGCAATAGAAATGACAACATGACCCCTCCAGAATTTAGGGATGCAATACCAGCAAGACCCGAAAAGAGATAGAAGAGAGAAACTCAGGTGTTGAAGACTCATTAGAAGATATAGAGTCATCAACCAAAGAAAATCTCAAAACCAACAAATCCTTAACACAAAATATCCAGGAAATATGGGACACCGTGAAGAAGCCAAACCTAGGTACAAAAGAAGGTGAAGAAATGCAACTCAAAGGTACAGAAAACATATTCAACAAAATCATAGAAGAAAACTTCCCTAACCTAAAGAGAGATATGCCTATGAAAATACAAGAATCTTACAGAACACCAAATAGGCTGGACCAGAAAAAGAAGTCACCTCGCCATATAATAATCAAAACATCAAACCTACAGAGTAAAGAGAAAATATTAAGAGCAGCTAAAGAAAAAGGCCAAGTAACATACAAAGGCAGACCTATCCGAATTACACCTCACTTCTCAATGGAAACGATGAAAGCCAGAAGATCATGGACAGATGTCCTACAAATGCTAAGGGAACAAGGATGCCAGCCCAGCCTACTATATCCAGCAAAGCTCTCAATTACCATAGATGGAGAAAACAAAATATCCCATTACAAAGCCAGATTTAAACAATACGTATCCATGAATCCAGCTCTACAGAAAATGCTAGAAGGAAAACCTAGATCCAACGAAGATAACTACATTCACAAAGACACAGGCAATATATAATCCCACTTTACAAAACACCAAAAGAAAAAGGGAGGAAAAACTACACAAAATAACTTCACTAACAATAAATGAAGCACAAACAAGGATCATCAATCAATGGTCATTAATATCCCTCAATGTCAACGGCCTCAACTTGCCTATAAAAAGGCACAGACTAGCAGAATGGATACGAAGACAGAACCCTTCCTTCTGCTGCATACAAGAAACACATCTCAACATCAAAACAGACATTATCTCAGAGTAGAGGATTGGGAAAAGATCTTCCAATCAAACGGTCCCAAGAAGCAAGTGGGTGTAGCAAACCGAATATCTAACAAATTAGACTTCCAAGTAAAATCAATCAAAAGAGATGAAGAAGGGCACTTCATATTCAACAAGGGAAAAATACATCAAGACGAAGTCTCAATTTTAAACACCTGTACCCCAAATACATAGGCACCTACATTCGTGAAAGAAACATTACTAAAGCTCAAAATGCACATAAAATCTCACACTAATAGTAGAAGACTTCAACACTCCACTCTCACCGCTAGACAGGACCTCCAGACAGAAACTTAACAAAGAAACAAAAGAACTAATAGAAGTTATGACCCAACTGAGTTTAACAGACATCTATAGAGCATTCCACCCAAATACAAAGGGATATACCTTCTTCTTGGCACCACATGGAACCTTCTCTAAAATCAACCACATACTTGGCAACATATCAAACCTCAGCAGCTACAAAAAATTGGAATGACTCCATGCATCTTATCTGACCACCATGCTTTAAAATTAGAATTCAACAACAACACAAATTGCAGAAAACCTACAAACTCATGGAGATTGAACAAAGCACAATTGCACCATCCTTTGGTAAAGGAACAAATAAAAAAAGAAATTAAAGACTTCCTCGATTTCAATGAGAATAAAGACACAACATACACAAACTTATGAGACACTTTGAAAGCAGTGCTGAGAGGAAAGTTTATAGCACTAAGTGCCCACATGAAAAAACTGGAGAACAGTCATACTAGAGAATTAATAGCACAGCTGAATGTTCTAGAACAAAAAGAAGCAAACTCCCCCAGGAGCAGCAGACGCCAGGAAATAATCAAATTGAGGGCTGAAATCAATCAAGTAGACACCAGGAAAAAACTGAGAAGAATCAATGAAACAAAGAGTTGGTTCTTTGAGAAAAATCAACAAAATAGATAAACCTCTGTCCAAACTAACCAAAAGACAGAGAGAGAGCATGCTAATTAACAAAATCAGGGATGAAAAAGGGGACATAACAACGGACTCTGAGGAAATCCAGAGAATCATCAGGGCATACTTTGAATACCTATACTCCACAAAATTTGAAAATTTAAAGGAAATGGACAATTTCCTGGATAGATATCACTTGCCAATACAAAATCAAGACCAGATAAACAATCTAAACAGACCTATAACCCCTAGTGAAATAGAAGCAGTCATCAAAAGTCTCCCAAACAAAAAAAGCCCAGGCCCAGATGGCTTCAGTGCAGAATTCCACCAGAAATTCAAAGAGCTAATTCCAATACTCCTCAAAGTATTCCACACAATAGAAGCAGGAGGCTCACTGCCAAACTCTTTCTACGAGGCTACAATTACCTTGATACCCAAGCCAACCAAAGACACAACTTAGAAAGAGAACTATAGACCAATTTCCCTCATGAACATCAAAGCAAAAATACTCAATAAAATACTCGCAATCGGGATTCAAGAATATATCAGAAAAATCATCCACCATGATCAAGTAGGCTTCATCCCAGGAATGCAGGGATGGTTCAACATTAGAAAATCTATCAATGTAATCCATCATATTAACAAACTGTGAAAGAAAAACCACATGATCATCTCACTAGATGCTGAAAAAGCCTTTGACAAAATCCAGCACCCCTTCATGATAAAGGTCCTAGAGAGATCAGGGATAACAGAAACGTACCTGAATATAATAAAAGAAATATACAGTAAACCAACAGCTAACATCAAACTAAATGGAGAGAAACTCAAAGCAATTCCTCTAAAGTCAGTAACAAGACAAGGCTGTCCACTCTCTCCATATCTCTTCAATATTGTACTTGAAGTTCTAGCTACAGCACTAAGACAACAAAAGGAGATAAAGGGGATACAAATAGGAAAAGAAGAAGTCAAACTTTCACTATTTGCAGATGATATGATAGTTTACATAAGTGACCCAAAAAACTCTGCAAGGTTACTCCTGGAGTTGATAAACACCTTCAGCAATGTGGCAGGATACAAGGTAAACTCAAAAAATCAGTGGCCCTATTATATACAGATGATGAAGTGACTGTGAAAGAAATCAGAGAAACATCACCCTTTACAATAGCATATAACAGCATCAAATATCTGGGGATAATGTTAACCAAGGAAGTGAAAGACCTGTATATCAAGAACTTTGTGTTCTTAAAGAAAGAAATCAAAGAAGATACCAGAAAATGGAAAGATCTCCCATGCTCTTGGATTGGGAGGATCAACATAATAAAAATGGCAATCTTGCCAAAAGCAGTCTACAGAGTCAATGCACTCCCTATCATAATTCCTTCACAAATCTTCAAGGACCTGGATAGAATATTAATCAACTTTATATGGATAAAGAAAAGGCCCAGGATAGCCAAAACAACCCTATACAATAAAGGAACTTCAGGAGGCATCACCATACCTGACTTCAAGCTCTATTATAGAGCTATAGTCCTGAAAACAGCTTGGCATTGGCACAAAAATAGGCAGGTAGACCAACGGAACTGAATAGAAAGCCCTAATTTTAACCCACACACCTATGAACACTTGATTTTTGACAAAGAAGCTAAAAGTGTACAATGGAAAAAAGAAAGCATCTTCAACAAATGGTGCTGGCATAACTGGGTGCTGGTATGCAGAAGACTGCAGATAGATCCATGTTTATCACCTTGTACAAAACTTAAGTCCAAATGGATCAAAGATCTCAACCTAAACCCAGCCACACTGAAACTTTTAGAAGAGAAATTGGGAGATACTCTTCAACGAGTTGGTACAGGAGACCACTTCCTAAACATAAC